AGTTATTTTCCATTCTTATGCTTTTATCATGACAAAACAGGGCTGCTGGAAAAATTATACCCACCCTCACATAAAACAGCCGACGTGAGTCGTGACTCTTTGCGTGACAAAAAAGAGACATTGAGTAAGACTGGGAACGAGTGAAAGTAGCTCGTGACGCTCGTGACCAAGGGGCAAGGGCAAAAAAAAACATGGCGGCAAGAACGTAACACATTTCCCCTTGAACCAACTGCATTACCCTTGAGAAAATAACACAACTTAACTCTCTGCTCTGATGTAGAGTATATGGGTGAACCAAATTACTGTCCGACAAAGCAATATCTGGAACGTATACAAGCACTGTACGACTGATACGTATTTTTTGCATGACGAGTAAACAAGCGAGGAAGACTCAATTAACGTTGTAAGTGTCTGGTTAATAAATCGCCGACTTTTTGTGCATTTCTTTTTAAAGTTCAACAGTGGCAAGTCCATGTGTGACAACTACTAGGCCACATGTTTTTCTATTAAATTCGCTTGGGCATCACCCCAGTGGTCGATTTGAAAGAGAAATGTTGAAGCCCAAACGGTGATTTGTTCAGTTTAACATCATCTTACCTTGAAGCGGAGCCAGAAGAGAAGAAGGAATCCAGTTTTCGTTGTTTGTCCACTTCTGCCTTCCGTTTAACATCATCTTACCTTGAAGCGGAGCCAGAAGAGAAGAAGGAATCCAGTTTTCGTTGTTTGTCCACTTCTGCCTTCCGTTTCTTTGATGACATAGTCGTGCAGAACCAGAAACTCCGAGAACAAGAGAATCTGACTGAAACGAACACTTCGTAAAAAGCGCGCGCTTTTAGGAAGATGACATTGTTGAACACTACGCGTTTTCATTCAGCCTCACGGTGATTATAAAGTCACCTCGCTTAAAAGGTGGAAGAGAGTTTGTGTTAATAAACTATTGGTTTGTGTTTTAATTTATAATTTTGTCATTTGATTTATTTTTACTTTCTAATGTTTTGGTTTTGTATCAAAGTAGCCGGGGCTCAGACTTGCAGTAGCCGGGGGAAATCCCCGGCCCCCGGCACCCGGCCCCCGGCACCCGGCCCCCGGCCCTTAATGAAAGCCCTGCAAATGCCAGTGAGTTGTGACACAGGTGGGATGTTGGGGCTTGGATTTGATTGGTCCACAACTGCCACTTGTGGGTACCAAATAGAATTGCGCGAGAAACTTAATGAAGAATCAGTTGTGATAAAATAGATGTGCTATCAGTCAATACCTCATATTATGACACGACTCGGCAGTCAGAGGGCCAATAACTAAAATCAACCAATCAAAGTGCTCTATTGCCGGTCCAATCTTCTCTAAGTCTTGGACCGGGCACTTTCCCGAATGGTCCCGAATGATACCCCAATAGTGTCCCTTTAAACTTCAGTCGTATAATAAATCTCTTATAAACCAAGCTTGCTCGGGACCATACTGGAAGAATATCGGCCCTCGGTCTTTTTTGTACGGACCTCGCTGCGCTCGGTCCGTACTGTCAAGACCTCGGGCCGATATTCTCCCAGTACGGCCCTCGCGCTTGGTTAATAAGATATATTTATTTGATTTTTACATAAAATTCTATAAGCTAAAATGATAAGAATTATTCGGGTCAGTGAGGAAAACTGGTAATNTTTTTTTCCTACAGTTTCTTTATTTTTATGTAAAGTGCATTTGATCATGTATATGGAATTTGCGATATATAAATTTCAATTATTATTATTGTTATTATTAAAACCCTGATCTACCCGTTACAGTGGTGACAAGTGGAGCATACAGAGTAAACTGCCCTAATTTCATTACAGTATTTGTGAATGCCATGGACTTGGCATTCATATCTTCTAGTATCTGCTTAAATTATAGGCTTTATTTCAGCTGTTCTCTCGACGACCTCGAGCGTGGTCTCTGCGGACTAAGCAGCTGGTAATGGAGCCCAGTTAATTTAGGGAAATTCGCACAAAATTGCGTTTAGCGGCTATTCGAGAAAAACCGCATCGGATAAAAACCGATGGGGTTATATGATGGTTTTATCCACATCGGATAAAAACCGGATCGGATATCAAATCCGAAAATCCGTTCAGTTAGTATTTTTCGCGAAAACCAAAAACCAAATGCTTAAAAAACGGAAAATCCGCTGACCGCAATGAACATCAAAACCGAAAACCGAAGTTTTTTGCACAAAAACCAAAAAACCGATCTAAAAATAGCCAAAACCGCAAAACCTAAAATCCCAACGCCCCCCTCTTGTAGGATGACTCGTCCAGTAATCTGTCGGTGTGTGTCGGTTTGCTGTAAACTGTCGTCCGTAATGATTTGTCGTCACGGCTTACCAGGCAGTCTAGAAAGGAAGTTTGCCATTTTCTTCGACTTCTCTGATAAACTGTATGTCAGTGTTTTGTCCCTTAAGGTGGTGGTGGAATGCGTAGATTTCGTCGTGTCGTACGGTGGTGAATGTGTCGTCAACGTAGCGTAAGCAAAGCGGTATCGTTTGTGGGCAAGTCGAAAGGGCGCGTTCCTCGATGTTTTGCATCACAATTTCTGCTACAACAACAGAAACCGGAGACCCCATGGCTGTGCCGTGTAACTGTTAGTAGTGTTTATCGTTGTACCGAAATTAAGTTGACGTTAGGCAAAGGTTCAGTAAGTCCACAATGTCGTCTGTCGGTAGCGGTAGTGGGTCGGTAGATTGTCAGATTGAAGTCTCATTGGATTGCAGTCTCATCGGATTGCAGTCTCAAATCTCACTATTTTGTAGTCGTCAGGTATCTGTACAGTCGTTAATGAAGTCCCCAGTGGATTTTAGTTTACGTCTGGATTATCGGTCAGCGGTTGTAGTATTGTCGTCAGGTACTTGGATGGTTGGTATGTAGGAGAACCACAGAAACAATAGGTTACATGGGTAAACCAGGTTTGTGTAGTTTCGGCAAACCGTAGAGTTTCGGTGAGTGTGGTACTGAGCACCTAAAATACTGGTAGCTGGTCACTGGTAGCTGGTCACTGGTAGCTTGTCACTGGTAGCTGGTCAGTGGTAACTGGTGATTGGTAACTGGTGACTGGGGACTGATTACTGGTGACTAGTGACTGGTAACTAGTGACTTGTAACTGGTTACTGGAATTTGGTTAAGGTAGGGGGACCAAAAGGCACTACTGCCAATCAATTGACAAGAACTTGAATTCCAACAGAAAACAATAACAATAACAACAGACCCCAACCAACCATTAACAGTAACTACATATATCTAAAACGACTTACATGACTCAAGGTATTTCACATTAACCAGACTATAACCCGCGTAGTTCAACATTTGGACGTTACTCATCCGACAAGCAGATATCCTCCAATTGAGGACATAGATGGTGAAAACGAACCTAAGATTGCTAAAAACGATGACATTCTGTAGTTATCATGATATCTCATTGAGGCAAAGAATTTATTCCGTATATTTGAATCAGGAGTTGATAAACGTCTATCTACCTGGTTTTAAAAAAAACTGATTAATTTGAAACGTTATTTATTGATTTTGAAATAACTTTAACATTAAGAGTAACAAACATGTAAAACTAATCCCAATGACGTTTTAACTGAATTGGTTGAGCGAATAACGTCACAAGTCTACTCACCAATAAAAATACCAGAACGCCAAAGAATGGCGACCCCTAAGCTCGACACGATCACACGCATTACTCCTACACACGATTTGCAAGATACCATTCCTAACGTCTGTATGAAAAACCTCATGCGTGTTATCTAAGTAGTAATTTCTAGCGGTGAACGAATGTCCGCCAGATTTGCATCACATTCGCAGTTAGCGTCAACCCACGTGACCATGATTTTCTTGAAAACATGTTTTCGCACTGTTGAGGAGGCACGTCACCCTCTACCGCTAGATCTAGCGCGAAGAATTCAACTATAAATATAATTTCAATTTGCTTAGTGTATTAAGGTAAACTTAGTGTGCTGCATCGGTAGTAAGAGACATTTCACATTTCAAAAATCTACGAGTTTCCAGCTATCAGACACCAGTTACCAGTTACCGGTCACCAGTTACCAGTTACCAGTTACCAGTCAACAATTACCAGTGACTAGTTAACAGTTACCAGTGACTAGTGATCAGCCATCAGACTTTTGAGTAAAAATTGTCATGAAACCTCATCTTTCTCGCTTATGGTTTACTTTTAATGTTCCGGCTTACGCTTCTAAAGTTAATAATCAGTTGGTTATTTAAAGGTACGTGCCGCAATATATATAGCAAAGCAGAAAGCAAAGGGTCAAAGTTCTCATCATTTAATTGAAGAATCAACACATACCGCGAGCTAGAAGCCTTTACTTCTTGCCATGCTTAAATCAGATTCACAGATGAGTTAAAGTGCACCTAAACCCAAAAATTTTTTCGCTTAACAAAATAAGCTTATTTTTTGAAGTATTTCTGTGCAAAAATTTTTAATTTGCTCAAATCTTCAATTTTCTATGCCCAGTCAAAATACGGAAAATCGGCCGCCATCTTGCCCCACGACCGAGTTTAAAGAGGAATGGCTCTAGCGGGTAATGTGACGTCAAATCGACGAGAACACGAAAGTCTGCATTTCACACATTTTCACTTGTTTGGGAAGGTTGTAGTCGATATTGTCCGAAAATTTGCCGACTAAATGTGTTGCAGGAGGATGTAGCAACGTGCGAAATTCGCACGAGGGTTTTGCGCTTCATACATTCCTCATAGAGCACACCTAGTCGGCATATTTCGGACAATATCGACGACAACCTTCCCAAACAAGACAAAATGTGTGAAATGCAGACTTTCGTGTTCTCGATTTGACGTCACATTACCCGCTAGAGCCATTCCTCTTTAAACTCGGTCGTAGGGCAAGATGGCGGCCGATTTTCCGTATTTTGACTGGGCATAGAAAATTGAAGATTTGAGCAAATAAAAACATTTTTGCACAGAAATACTCCAAAAAATACGCTTATTTCGTGAAGCGAAAACAAAGTCTTGGGTTTAGGGGCACTTTAATTAATCTTCAAAAACTTATTAATTATTCAGGAGGCTAACAGCCCATCAAAACATTGGTAAAACATCACGTAGTCTGAAAAGTCCGGTAGCGGCTTTGTTTTCAGTCCCTAGGAGTGCGGTGCGGAATGTGCAAACAATGAACTATCGCTTATTCTCAGTTGAAACGATCTTTATATAAAGGTCACTAGTAATCTTTATATTAAGGTTCATCCTTGCACAAAATCTTAATGGCGTCGCTTCCATTGCAGTCTTCCAAATGGCGCTGCAATTCACAGCGATGTATTATAATTCATTTAGCCACTTAAACAGGACATTTTTCTCAACATCAAGTGTCTGATGGGAATAAACTTATATAACCCTTTCTAGATTTTACTTCCTACTTTACTGCTGTCCTCGACGGTGAGGGCCGTATTTTTCAATTCGGTCCAGTACCTGTGGAGTTTCAGATGTGGGATGGTTTCAAACTGAAGGGATGTATCCCTTCAGGTCCGTTCAGGGATGGTGGTGCACATATTGCCATAGTAATATATCACGCAGAAGGTACGAGTTCATTTATGGAAGCTAGACAGCAGACTATGGAACTTAGGAAAGAGGCCAACCTCAGAACTGTTATGGTACCCGTGAGACCTTCAGAAACTCAGGATCTTAAAGGCTACAGCGTGAGAAATGCTGAGGCAAGTAAGGGCTAGTTTAATTTTCAGAGTTCAAAATTATTTCTACACTGGTTTTCCTGTGTCAATGAATTTTTCTTAGCGAGTAAAGGAACCCAGTAAGTTTTTAGTCCCAGAAGAACGCAAACCTTTTGAACAAAGTCATGCTCCCTTTTTAGTCAGGTATGGATAACATCATTGTTATGATTTTCATGTACTATTACTATCTCTTATTCAGATGCGAAGAATTATACCAAGTGGTGAACATCTGTGTGAATAAGTGTCTTATATATGGCATTTTGAGCGCTCTGAAATTGATCACAGGGTGATACTGGAATGTATAGGTATGTGTGAAATTGACTCATAGTTTACATTTAAGAGGCCATTGTTTACCTAATGTATCACCCATAATCTTTCAGGAACAGAGGAAGCATGCCTTGTTCTGAGTAAGCGGCTCTAATTCATTAGTCTTTCGAAAAGTATTAAACCTTTACCACACATGGGCGTCATATTTTGAATCATTTAGCTGTCATCATATGCAAAATATGTCCGAATATTTCATCGGGATAAAAATATTTTATTCTGCTAGTCTAGTTCAGTGTGAAATCCCAAATTTTTCCTCGTTCGCCCGACCCTTTTTCTTTCGAGGGAAACGAAACTGAGCGTCACTTTATTTCAAATGTCTGTGATTCACCAATTCAGGTTGTTTGTGCCTTTTGTTCAGTTGAACCAATTCAGCTAGTTTGTGCGTTTTGTCTAGTATAAACCATTTCTGCTAGTTTGACAATTTCAACCAGTTGAACCTACCTTTTAGCATCATCACACAAACTCTAGTTCTTTCAATGCTGCAAAAATTGTGCTATACCAGTCGTCACATGCAATCTTTGACAGTGTATTTTTATATCTGATAAAGGACAAAGTGCCTTCTGTAAAGTACGTGGTTTTTATAGGATATGGCTGATAAAAGATGGTTATAAATCTTCTGATCCCGTGGAAATTAACCTGTCTTTCCTAAATCTGGAGACATTGCCAATTATTGAAGGAAGGTGGGAAAATCTCACTGTGCTTAATGTAAGCCGAAACAAGTTAGCAGAGCTGCCTGAAAGAATTGATGTCCTGACTAACCTGACCCATTTGTATGCAAGCCACAACCGACTTTCTAAACTTCCTGAGACCCTGAAACACTTGGAGAAAATTCAGGAAGTGGATTTGAGGCATAACAACATTGACAGACTTGATCGAGGTATTGGTGATCTGAGGCATCTTTGTTCACTGTACCTAGTAGGTAATCCCCTACCAATGCAAATCATTAGATATCTTATGGAGCTGAAGAAAAGACGACCACGAGAACTGTTCATAGATCTTACAGGTAAGATAGATAATAAGAAAAAAGCACTTTACCTTTATTTCAACACAATGTAAGTGACGTAAGGTCGGATTGAACTGTGGCTAACGCTGTTGAAATATGAGCGCACAGTAGGCATCCTACTTTTTCAAATGATCGCCTTTTCCTTATACAACGATCCCTCCCTCCTCGTGTACCTTATCACTATCTTAGTACAGTTAAAAAAGAGTGAAATTCATTTAGCACAAACGATTAAATCCTATTTAACATTCCTTTTTGACGCTGACTATTCATAATTATCTTCATTTGCCATCTACCGTTTCTCTATATACCGTTCCACCCCTCCATCTACCGTTCCACCCCTCCATCTACCGTTCCACCCCTCCCTTCGTGTTTTTTCCTGGTCTTTCGTCCGCCTCGTGATTTTAACTCCAATTACGCCCGCGTCCTTCCGCCAAGTTTACCATACTTTCTTTGCCGTATTTCCTATTAATTTTTTGCTCAGTTGTAGGCGATTTCAAATTAGATCTACTTGACATAGAACAACCTTAAATATTCCAAGAATAGCCTTAAACTGTAGATTTCAACAGAAAAACGTGTAGAAATGTGAACACTTGGGCCTGTTTCTCGATCCTCTGAGTAACTTAACGCGCGCAAGCCACATTTGGAATAAAAAAAAAAATAAGTAGTAAGGGTCTTTTTTTTTTCGAATCTCAAAACTATTGATACTGTATTTACTCGAGTAAAAGCCTCCCGCGATCAAACTTCACAGGTGACAGTAAAATTTCTATTAACCACAGACCTTGAATAAACCTTCTCGACATCGGAGAGGCTTTTATATAATAGAAGCCGTGCCGTTAAATTGAGTAAATACTTTTTATTGTGCATGTAAACACGGCAAAAAAACACCTTTTGGGGGACCAGTAACTTCTTGTACTTTTGAGAAACGCGCCCGTATTTGGACAAAATTTCAAGGTTTAATTTTAAAATGAATAAGCAAAAATATCAAACTGATTATCATGAAGTTACAACCTTTCATTTGACAGATGACGCTCCCGTGGAAGTAATGGTGCAAGGAGAAGATGCAAAGCTTCTTTACGAACAGGCTCTGAAGGAGGGATATGTGAAAGTTTATCGGGCTCGTATTCTATTTATTGGTCAGGATCGTGCGGGGAAGACAAGTTTGAAGAAGTCTCTCCTAGGTATGCCATTTGAACCTAAAGAACAGAGGACTGATGGAATTGAGATTGATCCTTCAAAGTTTGAGATTGAAGTTAACCGAGTAAAGAACTGGTATTCCACCAGGGAAAGCGCGGGCGAAGCCACCCTGCCAGAAATCTCTGCCATATCAAGGATGGTAGCCGAAATTTTGTATGATTCGAGTGTTGGTGAAGAAAACGTTGATTCAAATCCTACATTAGAAGAAGTAAGATGTAGAAATGAATCTGGAAAAGAATTAAAGGTAGAATGTGAAGCTGAAAGTGAAAATAGTTTCTTTAAGAAACAGGTTTGTATTTTAATTTCAAGGTATACTCAGATATGAAAGATTCTTAAGCAGGAAAGCTTTATTGAGGGCAAGCACATCTTGTGCAGAGTCTCTTCAAAGAGACCAGCTACTATGGCGTCAACTCTGGGACAAAATGTTCAACTCGTCGTGGCGTCGTGTCATCTCGTCGTGAGGTGTACTCCCATCTCGTCGTGTTCGTGTCATCTCGTCACCTCGGGTTTTCCGCTGATTGTCTTGTCATCCTTCAGCTCGCCGTCCTCCCATTCGGCGGCTTCGTAAAAAAGAACGGTCCTAGAAGGGATTACCAACAAATCCAATATGGCTCCGACAGAATCCATCAGTTGAGGAGCTCAAGAAATGGTGTAAAATGGGGTTGACAGGCTTACACGATCCCCGGTGCGTATTTTAGCTTTTTTCATTGTTTGGCTCTTACTAGTGTATCATTGCGTCTCCCTCTTTTGTACGAAACAAGGAGCGGGTCTTTGTAGATTTTGTTCCTTTCAATACCAGATTTTCGTGAGGATTTGTCTTAGTTAGGCATTGATGGTTGGTATTGTTTGGCGAAAACAAGATTGTTTGATTCCTTTTGGTTTGGTTGGAGAGTGGCTTTCTGTCTTCAAAATTCACTTCTGAGAGAACCATTTGGACGATATTTTCTTGATAACGTCTTTCTAGCCTATGTGAAGTTTTCAATTTCATGTTCAAATTATTCTTTGCAAGAGTTTTTTCTGAAAATTCTATGAGCTTTTCCTTTTATGAAGCTTATTTAACTCCTGGTGGGTTGTCTGTAAAGCGTTTCCAAACTAGCAGTTTTTATGCGCTTTGGCATAGACATTTTTTTCCATCTTACTCACGGAGATATTAGCAAAGGAAACTGCCATTTTTTAGTAGAAGGGAGACGACACGAAGAGATGACACGGCGCCACGACACGACGCCACGACAAGATGAACATTTTGTCCGAGAGTTGACGCTACAGACCACTCATCGCTCCCCTTATAGGTGGAAGCATCAAAATGCTAGCACAAGAGAAGGAATTTTCTTCCCCCATTTCCAGGTCGTCATAATATTTTTACTTTATTTCGTTTGTGTGCAAAGGTACAAGCGATATACGATATTCATGCCAAATGAAAATAATTCATTGCTTGGTAAAACATGCCCTCGGATCTTTTTCAAAGCTCTCATCAGTGGCACCTGCTTTTCAACTATTTTACTTCTGTATGATGCACGATCCTCGCAGTAGATAGCGCTATTTAAGCAATAGCGAAAATCAGACCTGAAAAAAATCAGGCCTGTACGGGACTCGAACCACTGACCTCTGCGATACTAGTGCAGCGCTCTACCAATTGAGCTAACAAGCCAACTGGGAGGAGGCCGTTAAGTTGATTCGTAATAAACCCGTGAAAGTGATAAATCAGATACAATGAAATATATGAAGTTCATATATTTTGAACTGCGATATTAGATACGTATGATGCACGATCATCGCAGTAGATATCGCTATTTAAGCAATAGCGAAAATCAGACCTTTTACTTCCATTTCTGAAACAAATGCCTTTAAAGATGTTCACCAAGTTACTTTTTGGAAAACTACATTCTAGCTTGAAGAAGATGAGCACAATCCAGCGAAGACAGACATGTCTTCGCCAATAGGGAGCTTGGTAGGATCAGACGATAGTGCAAAAGATGATTCGCAGCATAGTGCCGATCTGATGATTGATACTGCCTCAGTTGCAGTTGACGTCAAAAACCGTGCTGCACGATGCTTAAAGGAGATGTTTCGCAAAGGGCTGAAGCCCGAGAATGATAGAAATGAGCGGGAATCCGAGTTAAGTGTTGAAATGTGGGATTTTGCAGGACAACATGTATACTATGCCTCACATCCTGTGTTTTTCTCACCCCGTGCAATTTACATCCTCGTGCACAACCTGAGCAAGTCAATAGACGCCATAGCTCAGCCGTGTGCCAGGCAAGGAACTCACAAGGTTATCTTGGAAAACCCGAACATGGAAACAAACCTGGAAAATTTGCTTTCGTGGCTCGCTACGTTACATAGTATTAAATCACCGGCAGAAGAGATACCAACAGATCTTCCCTATCTCCGACCTCCAGTGTTCATTGTTGGTTCACATGCTGACATACCATACGAGGACACTAAGACCGTGACTTCAAAGATACAGCAGGGAATGGCCGGAAAGGAATATGAGAAACATGTGATCAGGCCTTTTTTCAACGTTGATAACACACAAAGCAGCAAGTCAAACTCAAAGAGCAGCAGATCGATCTTATGGAGGATCAAGAACATGTTTTCCAATCCGCAAGGAAAGCATGAAGCAGGTAAAACTTCGAACGCAGATTAATAAAGCGCTTAGTGCTTCTTCGATGACGTATGGGTGAGGGAATTTTAAGATTAACTAAGTCCCGTTCACCAACAAATTATCTAAAGCTTCATCGGTAGAGTACCCTTGTGGATGGTCTGGGATGCGAATTTTCACGCGGGACTCAGACCTTAGTTCTTTGTCCCTCGTTCCTTACATTGATATATTGACATTAGCTCGCTGAGTCATGGTCAGTCATTTACTTATATATTTCATCATGAGGGGCTCCCTGAGCAAAGCTTGCGGACTATCACTCAATTGCCGCGCAAAAGTTTATCAGCCTTTTTATGTCGGCAGAGGTGAACTCAAGATACTAATAAACTTCGCAAACATGGTACAGTTTGTATGACTCAAGGTAAAAAACAAAGTTTGACGTCGAGGTTCCTTCCATCGTCCAAGAATATTAGAAAATCGCCCCTTGGTTGGAGTGCTTTGTCTAAAATAAATCGGAACTGGTTACTTTTTAACTGATTGTAGAAATGCCAATTTTCATATCGTGATCTGATGTACAACCGTACGTTACTTCAAGGTGATGATTCTGATGGTGATGGAATTCCCGCACTACAAACTAGAATCCTGGAAGTGATAGAGCAAGAACCGTATATGGGGGAGCAAGTCCCGGTCAGGTAAGGTGCTCTTGATTTCGTAAGTGTGGAATGTTTAGTTTATAATGAAAAGGTGCACAAGGCAAAGACAGATAGTGCAAAGAGTAAATGTATGCTCTAAGTAGAGTTGCTTGTAGTAGCTAACACGATGTCGTGTTAATTTTCTTCCCAGATGGTTCAACTTCGAAAAGGTCATCGAAGCTTTAGTTACTACTAGCGTTTATTATACGAAAGTGAAAACGCTTCAAACGTATGCCAAAGAACTTTGCTTCGTAGAGGATGAGAAACAATTTAATACGATGTTGAATTTCTATCATAACCTTGGCGTCGTCGTCAGACACCGCGACACAGTAATCTTAAAGTCACAATGGCTGATTGACGTTTTAAAGCAATTGATAACCATACCTCACTTCGACAAAGCGGTAAGAAAATGTAATTGTCCACATTGCCAACAATGGAACTCTATTTACAAATTAGCGATCGTTTCGGGGGAGAGAAAAAGTTTAATGACTGATGGTGTTAAGGAGAACGTGACGTTGCGTTGCATGTATGGTATTTTTAAAATGAGTGACAGGGATCAAATGTCAAGTACTTTTACTTCGAGTTCTTGCCTTAATTTGTGTAGGTCGAGTATTCACCGGATGTTACTAAAACTGGTAATGGAGAATGAGGAACGGGGAACGGGGAACGGGGAACGGGGAACGGGGAACGGCGAACGGGGAACGGGTGTACAGCGGTAACCCACCTCAGAATTCAAAATGGCGGAGTAAACGATGTTTACAAACACCGATTTTATCGCTAGGTCGCCGCTTGCAGCGAAATTAGACGACTCGCTTTTATTTAACTATTGCCCAGGCGAAGCCACGAAGCCTAGTATTCCGAGGCGAGAATTCGAAGTCAACGTTTCTGCAATGGCTGCCACCATTTGTTCTGACGTCTCTCTTTGTTTTTCCTTCCTGAAATCTGCATCTTTTGGCAGAGTTTGGGTATGTTGGTTGTTTGCATTGCCCAACAGCATTTTTTGCAGATAAGTAGCAAGGAGGTAATATCTTAGATTAACAGAAATGAGCTAGGAAACGTAATAACCAGCCTAGTTATTAAAATTACTACATGCAGATATCTGCTTACCTTACCGCAAAATAACATCAGGAACATATCTTTGTATCGACCCATAAACTTCCATGTAAACAATAGAGAAATCAAACATTGACAGAACTTTTAATAACATTTAATTTAACAGGAAAACATCAGTTATGTCTTCANAACGATTACAAAAGCTGACGTTTCGAGCGTTAGCCCTTCGCTCCGACGAAGGGCTAACGCTCGAAACGTCAACTTCTATAATCGTAACGGTGGCCAATTTACCATTTCAACTTTGTTGATATAATCAAATTATTTCGTTACCCCCACCGACGCAGCCCCAAACAGTTTCTTTAGAAACTATCAGCCTTTATTCATTTTATTATCAAGCGACAAAAAAAAATAGGGTCCAGAATAAGGGTCAAAATATTTCCCTGGGTCATAAATATACACAAAGTCTTTGAGTTTTGAAAAGAAATCATCACACGGAGCAGGTGTGATACTGATTGACTTTTTCTGGCTTTTAAGGACCCTGTGGGTTCAAAGTACTGGAAGGAACTCGAGATAAGTGGTGTTCTCAGCATGAACCTTGTAGATCACGTCTTTTCCAAATTTGATAAGCATGACGTCATCAAAGAAGATATCCTAGACCTGATGGAGCAATTTGGCTTGATAGCAAAGTTCTCTCCTAATTTAGCTAATGCAACATACTTTGTACCAGCTCAGCTAAAATCATCACCTGAAGGTCTCCTCAAGTTGGAGCCGTCAGGCACTGATCCGTGTTCCTTGTATCTTCACTTTGTGGATGGATTTGTCCCGCATGGTCTCTTTCCGCAGCTAGTCTCAAGATTTACAGCTTGGTGTCCAAAGACTGGGTGCACACAGCTCCCAAACCTTTATAACAATGGAGCCCGTTTTTTTATAGGCAGACATGTTATCTATGATCTGATTCTGATTTGCCAAAGGAGGTTCATCAAGATTTTCTTGAGGAGCATTACACAAGTTGAGGCAGTTTCAATGTCACAGTCAGCAGAAATGGCAAGAGCTGTGCGAGAGTTTTTAGAAGACACCATGGAGGATCTGTCTCAAGTGCTCACATATCTGAGGGGAATGCAGTATGAGCTGTGTGTTTTATGCCCCAACTGCCTTCAGGGGGGCCAGCAGTGCGCAAACCACACCCAAACCTCCTGCACGCATCACGACTGCTTTCACCTGTTAAAGGTAAAAAGAGATGAACCACTGTTTTGCACGAAGAGCATTCCTGCTGCAGTACTCACTATTAATGGGATAGAGAGGTGGTTCTCAGTTAACACAGGCAAGGTAAGATAATAAAAAGTTTAGCATTTTAAAAGCATCTAGTAAACCCCATCCACTATGTAATTTTTTAGAAATGTCGTTTCTTCTCCAGACGATCGATCTTTAATAAAACTATTGCTGGTGTAGCAAAACTTTTCTTTTCGATAGATTTTAAATTTTAAAACAAAGGCATGTTGAGCCTCTGAAAATCTGTTTATTTTTAATTGCTGGAAAACGAAACCTGCTGAGTAAATTGATTTCGCTTGATCTAGAGTCGATTTCGTTCTGCAACAGCTGAATTCAGCAATTTAAATAACGGATATAGTTTGAAAAAAGTGCCCGACCCAGTTTCAAGAAATACATTATTTTTTCATTGCATAGCAATCGAAGTGGATCATAAAACTTTACCTAACTACGTATCGAATGTGCATAAGCAATTAGATACGTGCTAGATAGATGTAACAACCGTGACTTCAAGGTAATACATGTAAATTAAATTGCCTGGTCTGCAGGACTTGTCCTCCATCAGAGGTGACACAGCGCAAATAGCACAATTTCAAGATCCAGGGAAGTGTGGAAAAACCCTGAAGGTGATGCTTTTGGCGAGCGAGTGGAATTCATCCAAGGGTGGCTTGTCGACAATAAACCGACACCTTGCCATACTTTTAGCGAGCCATGCAGAAGTTAAAGTCACTCTCTTAGTGCCGAAATCTGCTTGTGGTGAAGAGGATAAAAGAGCTGCAGAGAGTTACAATGTTACCATCCATAAGGCAGACAGCCGTCCAGGTTTTGATGACCCCCTCGACTGGTTGAGCTTTCCACCACGAGATATCACTACGGACATCGTGCTGGGTCATGGAGCGAAACTCGGTAAACAAGCTCAAGTCATCAGAGAGTCGCACAATTGCAAGTGGGTCCAGGTAGTGCATACCGCACCTGAAGAACTCGGCATTTTCAAAAAGTACTCCAAGGCCATTTCGAAGGGAGAAGAGAAGACTACGGCCGAGGTGGATCTCTGCAAATTGGCAGACGCTGTTGTCGCAGTTGGGCCCAAGTTGACGGGGGCTTTCTCATCCTACCTGCGTTCATGTGAGAAGCACCAGGACATAATTGAGCTGACTCCAGGAATCTTCAATGACTTTTCAGACGTAAAGCAAGTGCAAGACGAGAGTGACAAATTTAAAGTGTTAACCTTTGGTCGTGGTGATCCTGAGGACTTCAGTCTGAAGGGCTACGACATCGCAGCAAAAGCTGTAGCTGAACTGAACGACAAGTCGTACTGCCTGGTTTTTGTGGGTGCTTTAGATGGAAAACAAGAGGAAGTGGCGAAGGCTTTGCTGGATAGTGGAATTTCTGAAAATCAGTTGTTTGTCAGAAGGTTTGTGAAGAGCAAAGCAAAACTGAAGGACTTGTTTTGTGAAGTTGGCTTGTGCATCATGCCCTCCAGGACGGAGGGATACGGCTTAACTGCGCTGGAGGCCTTGTCGGCATATCTTCCCATTCTTGTGAGTGGCAACTCGGGTTTTGGAGATGCTCTTCGTGTTCTTCCACTCGGCGTGTCCTTTGTCGTTGACTCCTCCGAACCTGAAGAATGGGCAAAGGCGATTGCTAAAGTCCGTCAGAAAAAACGAGCAGTGCGACTTGAAGAGACTCGGATGCTCCGGAAATGTTATGAAGAAAAGTACAGCTGGGAGAAATCATGTCAAACTCTTGTTCAAAAGATGTGGAGCATGGTTTATGGTAAGAATTAAATTAATTATCTTTGAATCTTCTATCTAGTTTACGTCGTTGCCTTAAACTTTGGAGCCTTCAGTTGCAGTCATCGATACTAGTCCTTTCAGGACAACCCTCGCGTGAACGACAAAATTTATCTCCTTTTTTTCAAGTTGTGTGAACCCTCACTTTCAGAACATGGCTGGTTGTCAAACCTTTCTTGTGAAAATGAATTTTATACGTTGAATAATTTGCATATGTATAAAAATGGAGGAACCTCTCCATATTAGGACAGCATCTATCCTTGTTTTGAAGCAGAGGCTTGAGGCATCTCGGAAATACCTTGCCTTTTTCCAGGGGCTTGTTCGTGCGCGTGTGTCTAGGTGCTCGTGCACGTTTGTGTTAAGGTGCTCGTGCGCATATGTGTTTAGGTGCTCGTGCGGGTGTGTATTTAGGTGCTCGTGCGGGTGTGCGTCGAGGTGCTCGTGCCGTGTGTGTTTAGGTGCTCTTGCGCGTGTGTGTTTAGATGCTCGTGCACGTGTGTGTTTAGGTGTTCGTGCGGGTGTGTGTGTTTAAGTGCTTGTGCGCGTGTGTGTTTAAGTGCTCGTGCGCGTGTGTGTTTTGTGCGTGTGTAGGTGTGTGTTTGGTGCTCGAATGTGTGTGCGTTTAGGTACTCCTGCAAATGTGTGTTTAGGTGGGCTAGGAGGTTCTACCCTATTCTCTTATTCTTGTTCGGTTAGTATTTGATAAAAAGGTTCAGGTATTTACTTACTTGTATCGGTGCTCTGAAGAGTTTATTTTATATTTAAGAGTTCTTCACTACCTAGCGACATATATAGTCATATGTATTATTGAAGTCTGTTGACTGTTATGACATTCATGACTCCTGTAACGGTTTACTCCTCCTGCTCTTTTTGCAGGTTAGAAAAATAGAGTTTTCCACACCTGTCAATATGGTCAGGTAACCGCAGCCCTACAGATGAAGGAGGAGTCAAGTACAACACTGTCTATGGGTGAAAAAGTCCATTTGCTGTCAATGTTCTTTCTTAGTAAGCTATTGTTTTGAGATTTTAAGCGAATTTATTTTTTATTTCTCGTGCCTTTTTGGGACGTTTTAATATAATATCCTCATTTACCTCTTCGTGTATAAAGGTAGATGATAAATCGAGACCGCAGAAAACATAGTAAAATTCATGAAATAACTAAGAGGTTTAGCAACCTCATGTTCGTTCATTAACAAATACATTGGCCTCGAGAAGCGGATGGCTATGTCGCTGTTTACTTATGTAACATATTTGTCAAACATGTGTTTCTTGAAAATATTACACGACTCGGGCCAATAACTAAAATCAACCAATCAAAATGCTCTATTGCCGGTCAATATTCTCTAAGTATTGGACCGGGCACTGTCCCGAATGGTCCCGAATGATACCGCACTTGTGTCCCTTTGAACTTCAGTCGTATAATAAATCTCTTATTAACCAAGCTTGCTCGGGACCGTACTGGAAGAATATCGGCCCTCGGTCTTTTTTGTACGGACCTCGCTGCGCTCGGTCCGTACTGTCAAGACCTCGGGCCGATATTCTCCCAGTACGGCCCTCGCGCTTGGTTAATAAGATATATTAAAACTTTATATAAGTCTGCTAGGAGGCTACAAGGCAAGCGGATGGGA